AATTTGTTTGTAATAGAATGTATCGTAGCACCCTGTAATAATATGAAATAATAAAAATATAAAAATTTGTTTGTAATAGAATGTATCGTAGCACCCTGTAATAATATGAAATAATAAAAATATAAAGATTTGTTTGTAATAGAATGTATCGTAGCACCCTGTAATAATATGAAATAATAAAAATATAAAAATTTGTTCGTAATAGAATGTATCGCAGCACCCTGTAATAATGTGAAATAATAAAAATATAAATATTTGTTTGTAATAGAAAAAAAGAGATACGTTAATATAACATAAGTGCAATAAAATAGCTTTTAAATGATCGAGTTAATAAGTTATGATCTTTTGACAATTGATGTTAAACTTCATGATTCCAAAAGAAAAAAACTTTACGTTACATAGTATGATATAATAAACTAGGCATTACATCCTCGTAAATACTACAACTAACATCTCTGAAAACATTCATTAACATCCAGCTAAACCAAACACTTTTTAGCACCAGTTCTTGAAAAATACACAATGAAATTTTTATTTAAGTTTTAATATAAATCATAAAAATAACAAATTTTGGTGTTTCTAAGCATTTATTACTTACCAAAACATGCATTAATGAAAATAATCTATAGAATTAATAATAATTATACACCAGTACACACAATATATAAGTATAATTTAAGTCAATATTTCCGCTAGGTAAAGCCGTTAAGAGTATAAACATACAGTTTTTGCTTTTGTACTTTTTCTGTACTAAATATTCATACACACTAGTTTGCGAACGTTCCTGTCGATTCGAATAAGTGTGATGCACTTGACATAGTTTATTTGATTGCTGCATCAATTAATTGAGTAAATCTAGGTGTTAATGTGTTGAACTTGGATATATTTTTTTACACTGTTAATTTAATGTATCATGTGCATTTCTAGATGTACAAAACTTCGTTACCCATAGATCAGCATCAGTGTTTGAACTTGGTAACGAACACAAAGACAGTCAGTTTTCTCTTGTAGCTCACGGTATTACTCTCAGGGTTATAAACACAACAATTATTACTGAATGTTGAGAATTGTAACTCCTGGTGATCAGGTTATGGAGATATTTTCTCTGACAAATATACATTTGTAAATTCTGTAGTTTTTAAATATCTGGAAATGGGTTGTGTTTCACAATGGTACATAAGACTTTTGATAATTGAATATGTTTTATAAGATGAGGATTCTTTAAGAATATTCACAATAAAACATAAGTGTGAACAATGTACCAAATATAAAAATTAACTCGGATCTGATACCAAGGATTAACAACACAGGTCTGTGAATTTAAACTACATAAAAGTTATTTTTGGTTTTAATGACGGATTTTCCATAATTCAGCTACGCAGGTTTCGAAAATAATATTCATTTTTTTTTCTATCACGTAAGAATTTTTAACAAATCGGGAAGAGAAAACTCTTACTTAGATCAAATTATGCTGTCGTTTACCACAATGAACATTTTTTATTATTATGTTTGCCATGTTTAGGTTCTAGAACGATCAACAAGACTCTCACGTCGCGATTGGTCTAAAGAAATCTATAACCAGTGGTTGTCAACATTTTGAGCATAACAAAATGTGACAATGATTCACTGATGTAAAAGTACATATGATTTTTTGGGAAAAACCTGTACGTGATAGAGAAAAATGTATATCATTTTCGGATTCAGCGTACAGGAATTACTGTAGAACATGTAAATATTTCAAAACAATAAAACCATCGCAGGCCTGTGTATTTATAGGATTATCAATAAGAACTTCTGAGGGATTCTAAAGAAGAGTGTACAATAATATTGCCAACCACACTACATCTTCTACGTCTAGCGCCGATGAGACCTTTCACCCATTACTAGGGTTCTTCAAGATGGCTGGGATATAACAAACTAAGTAATGCCAGAGATGTTTGTTTGTAATTAAGCACAAAGCTACACAATGGGCTATCTGTGCTCTGCCCACAACGGGTATCGAAACCCGGATTCTAGCGTTGTAAGTCAGCAGACATACCGCTGTGCCACTGGGGGGGGGGGGCAGAGATGCTATTAATATTATAAAATTGCTTGACAACAGCTGTTAAGCTGGATTAAGTTGGTATAGTGTAATTTTTCATCGGTTTTACTTATGTCACAACACATCAGAATTATTATTGATTATTGATGTTTGGTGGCGCTGTTGGTCTTCGTTCTTTAGTGATGGTTGGAATCGCATATAACTAACTTTATGCTTTCCCTCAGTAAAAAATATAAGACACTATATGCATTCTGTAATTTTAAACTAAAGAAAGAATTTACAAGATTGTGTTTTGTTAAGGTATAGAATTAGGTGATTATTGAAAACAAACCTAGTTTGAGAGAAAAGCTATTCACAAATTATATATAAAAACGAAACAGGTAAAGGATTTTGTATCTTTGACTTTGAAGCTATACATAAAAATTGTAAATAGAAATAGTTAGAATAATTTTGAGATATAATAATCAAAGACATGTTTTTCAATATCTGCTCATAATTCAGGCTTAGAATATTCTAAATGATCCAGTAGTATGGTTCCACTATTCTATATGTTTGTTTTTAAGTGCAATGGTACATATCTATGCTGGCATCGAACCCCATTGTTTAGCGTCATATGCCCTTCAAACTGACTAAAGCCACTGGATGGACCGGCATGGCCAGGTAGTTAGGGCGCTCGACTCGCAATCTGAGGGTCGCGAGTTCGAATCCCCGTCACACCAAACATGCTCGCCCTTTCAGCCGTGGGGGCGTTATAATGTTACAGTCAATCCCACTATTCGTTGGTAAAAGAGTAGCCCAAGAGTTGGCGGTGGGTGGTGATGACTAGCTGCCTTCCCTCTAGTCTTACACTGGTAAATTAGGGATGGCTAGCGCAGATATCCCTCGTGTAGCTTTGCGCGAACTTTGAACTTCAAACCAAAGCCACTGGAGTGTCTATGCTATATAAGAACAAGAAATATAACAATGAAAACAAAAAGGATCGTTTGGCACGAAAAGCTTATTTACTGGTACCTAATGTTTCAGAATATACTTATTCCATCTTCAGCAAAGTCTAAAACCAAGATGTGTGAAAATGATATAATACAGATGAGATCAAATCATAGCAAAACGTTAAAATATTAAGTTTAGAAAACAGTGTGAAAATTTTACAATAAACTTACACGTATAATACTGAATTAAACGATAATCACACAATCTAAATTTTAATTTGATTACAATGTCAATAGCAGTAAAAAGAATATGTAAAATAACACAAAACAGAACAAAATACTAATTTACTATCACTAGAAATTGTTTTCCTTAGGACCTGAAAGAATAAAGTTAAGATG